TAATGTTCAATCACAAAACCTCCAAAATCTGCCAAGATATTTTTAGCTGTTCTAACTTTCCCCTGTAACCTCCATGAAGAAAGATTCAGGAGTGTAGAGGGAAGGGAGTAAGTAAGCCTCAGGGAACCAAAAAGCAACTGCAGTTTTCCCCAATTCCTTAGCACTAAGGGAATTAACAGAATTGAGCATATACTTCTGGAGAGGGCATCAGTCCTTGTCCTCTATGCTGCAGAAGGTGTACCCAGGTCCATGGCCTTGAACCAACCCAGTGGACCAAGAGCCTGAGAGTATCAGGCCAAGTGAGAGGCAGCCACATAACTGTCTGCCAGAAAAGCACCTCCAAGCCTTGATGCTTGGAGAGCCAACCCTAACTGCAGAGCAAGAAAGGAGGGAGGGGAGGCTTACATACCTTCCAGTCTCGGCTGGAGAAGAACTTGGGGTTAGTTTCCCCATATGGGGGAGGAATGATACATTTTAGAGGTTGGGTTACTGGGACCCCAATATCACAACACGCGGGTCCTGCCCAAAAGAATTCTACCCAAGCCTTCTTTCAGCCAAAGGCAAGGTTTATTAGAACATTCGTCATATTGGGCAAATTCCTAAGGAGTCTGAACATTAGTAAACTATTGGCTAGATTATAAGAATCTGACCAGTGGCTAGATTTTAAGAATCTGAGCCAGTTTATTAAATTTATTAAAATAAAAAGTTGTTGCTGATGAATTTTTAGGGAAAAAATTGCTTTTTCTTCAACCATGCGTTGCTACTCTTCTCTTGACTTTGCTTTTCTGGATCTGTGCCTACAATTTCTTTTAATCTATTTGTTCTCCTATTTAGTGAGCTGTCAACACTTGTGTCATTTCCATGTGTCTCAGGTGTTTATGTAGATAATTGTTCAGTCAATCTGGCTCTGGTCCCAAACTTCCTATCTTTCCTCCATGTGCAAATAGTTTCTTCTCAGACTTAAAGTATTATGATTGAGTAACATTTCTATTTCATGGAAACACTTCATCTTTCATATTCAAATTTTCTAAGCCTATTGAAGTTGATTGACCTAGTTCTTAAGGAAAGTAAGCTAGGAAGTAGTTTCCTAGTTTGCATGGAAAAAAAGCAAAGTATACTAACATTTTAAAATTGAAGAAAGGTCTGCCCAATCGAGCAAATACAGGTATTCTTGTGGGGTTTTCCCCTACTTCTGTCACTTTATTTTCATATAATTACAAATGTTTTAAATCCAATTTAAAATTAGTTTTTCAAAATATTGTTCAAATGGTTTGGGAGTCTCAAAAAACGTATGGGTCTGAGTCAGGTTAGAGAAATCTTGTTAAGTGTTTCATGGCTTCATGGTTTGAGGGCTAATGGAATTTATACAATGATACAATCTATTCACGGTGAAGATATATATTGCAGCAAAGCAAAGGCATCTCAAAAATCTGTGAAATACTATGTGAATTATCAGTATTATATCAGCATGGAAATGATAATTTACATTTCTATATAAATTTCAGGTTTTTGCTACCATAAGTTAAGTTGTATCCCATTATTTTATGACCCTACCAACTAAGATTTCAGGATCCAATGTTTTTGTTATTAAATAAAAAAAAAAAACCTAAAGTCACATTGCAAAATTTTAAAACATATTTTGGTAAGAATATTTAACTATATATATTTCTATATCCATATCTATTTTATCTCTATCTCTATCATCCACCCATCCACCTATCCATCTATCTATTATCAATCTATCATCTATCTATCTATATCACAGACACCAAGACCTAGGGCACAGGAGAGGATAACAACCACCCTCCAGGTTGTCATTGATATTTTACTTTCTCTCTCTTTGTCTCTCTATCCCCCTAACCATTCTAGTCAGTTTCTCTTCCTATTGTCCACAAAGACATCATCACTTGGTGACATTCCTTTCTGATATTCAGTTATACTATAGCTACAAAATTTTCTTCATCTGTTGGTTTCTTAAGCCTTAAAAGAGGAAATGAGGTTAGTCTGACATGACTTGCTATGACTAATCATGCTGTCTCAATAATCATTGCTTTCCTTTTCAAATACTCATAAATCATCCCTGTAGTGATATATTTTAGAATTCCACTAGAAATTCATACTCATTGGCTGATTCTATCTTCATTTTGGGGGAAAATAAGATATTTGCCCATTTGCCCAATAACACCTCTTTTCTTTACATTTCTTCAGGAACCACCAATACCATTTAAATTCTAGCTCTATGATCCTATGATTCTATGCACTACAAGTTTTGTTTTTCCATACCTTCCATACCTTTCCATGTAGTTAACTGGGAATAGTGATATGAAACTCTGCTAGCAGTACAACTACATAGTGGATAGAGTATTGGATTTGGAGGGTGGAAGATGACTTTGAATTGTGTCTTTACTACTTACTAACTGTTTACTGTACTAACTGACACAGGACAATTTTGTAAGACTCAACTTCAGTTTGGTCATCTCTAAATGAGGTAATAATATAATCTACATCACAGGTTGATGAGAAATCAAATAATGATATAGATAAAGTGCTTTGCAAATTTTAAAGCAATATGAAAATAGCCATTATTAATATGTCCTTACTTATCTTGGGTTTTAATTCACTTTTGATCATTTTCATCCTGCCCTTCCCAATCTGAAGATTGTTCCCTTCATAGTGAAAACAGAAAAAAAAAACCAGAACATTTGAATAGTTTTACCTTCTCTCTGTCATTCATAATCATCATCCCACTTTTGAGCAATAGCCTTTTCCCTACTTTAATCTTTCTCTTTTCTCAATTAGTTGGGTTTTTTTTAGTGTTTTATTGTCTTTATAATTTATCATTAGGCTTAGTTAATGCTGAGGTTTAGAACTCCTGAGACTGTTTTTAAACGACTAGCATTCCTCATGTTTTTGCCTTCACATACTGCTAACTTTTATATATTTATGAATATACAAAATGTATAACACATTTTCCCTTTAGTTTTCACAAATTCCAAAATGGAGTTTTAGTTATTGTTCTTCCTAATGCTCCTCTAATTTTGAACTTAGCAACTAGTCACTCTTTAGTACTAAATCAGATCAAGTAGAAGAGCTCCCTTCTTCCTTTACTTCCTTTTTTGGTGAGGCAATCAGGGTTAAGTGACTTGCCCAGGGTCACAGAGCTAGTAAGTGTCAAATGTCTGAGGCTGGATTTGAACTCAGATCCTCTGGACTCCAAGACCAGAGCTCTATCCACTGTGCCACCTAGCTGCCCATCTTCCTTTACTTCCTAAGGTAAAAGATGAAGGGAATTGCTATACTTGATCTGATTTTAAAAAAATCTGATTAAAAAATATCACTAAGGGGCAGGCCAAACATGTATCAGTTGATCTGCTATTAGCAAAGATAGAGATTCAGCAGATGTTCAGATAGTTGAAACCCCCAAATCCCTACTATAGCACATTTTGATATCAAGTTAATGCTCTGTTTCCTGAATACATAGTTAAAGTCCTTCTTCTGGTTGAGTAGTCTCTATTAAACTCCAACTCCAAAATCTCTTGTTTCTTTTTTCATTGATCTTTACCTAAATACTTTCTTCTCAGATTTCTCCTTTTGGTTAGTTGATGTGTGTGTGTGTGTGTGTGTGCGCGCACGCGCGCGTGCGTGCGTGTGTTATATCTATATTTTATGTACAAGAGTACTCTAGGAGGCAGCTAGGTGGCTCAGTGGATAGAGTGCTGGGCCTGGAGTGAGGAAGATCTAAGTTCAAATTTGGCCTCAGAGACTTACTAGTTGTTTGACCCTGGACAAGTCATTTAACCTATGTTTGCCTTAATCCAGAAAGAAATGGCAAACCACTCCAGTATCTCTGCCAAGAAAATTCCATGGTCCCAGGGATCACAAAGAGTCAGGCACAACAACTCTTCTTCCACACCTTTTGTCTCATCTATTCCTTTGCAAGAAGCTATGCCCACTATAAACATATTCTTGGCATGAGTCACATCTCATAGAGTCTCATTAATCTTTATAAAACCAAATTTACCTTCTTACATTAAGATCTCAAGTTCTTTTTTATTCCTCACACTCTGCACAATTTTATGTAGATATATAAGGCAAGGGGATTTATCACTGACCCTTTTTTAATACTATTTCTTGAATATTACTGTCTCTTCATCACTAGAAGTATTCAGAGGTTAGTTAACTACCTGCTAAAAAATGCTATACAAGGAAGAGAGATCTGCACTGGACAGTCGTTAGAATTAGATAACTTCTTAAGCACTTCCAGCATAAACAGCTCAGGGAGCAAACTTTCTAGAATGATGGAAATTTTTTCATTAATAATTTATAGGTAAAATCAAAGGGAATTGAGTAAAATGTGTTTTTTTCTTTTGAAATTCTTGAGTGTGGCATTTTTTTCCCCAGTGTTAAGAATGAAAATCTGTCAGCACACGCATTTGTGTACAAATGCCACAAAAAGGCAGTTTAAAATGTGTGAGCTTAAGATTAGTCTTCTTTGCAATAATTGCTCTGTAAAATGGATTAGGAAGAGAAGGAGAAATAGATCTGTTCGTTAATTTCCAGATGCAGAATGGAATAAATGCAACATTACTTACAGCAGAGAGAAGACTACCCAAATAGGCATCTCTTAGAAGCAAATGAGATTTTCTATAGCTCAATAGCACTGTTATTGAGAGGATTAGAAGGAAATTAACATTCTGCTACTTTTTTCATTGATTTTTTTTTCCTACTTTCTTCACAACAAAAAGAAAAAAACATGACCTGTTATGCCTCTAAAATTTTCCAGTGCACTTGACATTGACGAAAATAAATAAAGACATCTTTCCTGGGTTGGCATATTAAATACATCCATATAATGAATCATTTTTTCCTGCTTTGACATGAGATATATGTATGTATATATATGTATATATATAATGTATATCACTTTATGTAAATATAGATATATAATTAAGTTGTCTTTGTATAATAATCACTCCAACATAACTTTAATATTTCAACAGACAACAAAGATTATGATGCATATTTATCATACACCAAAGTGGACCCTGACCAGTGGAATCAAGAAACTGGGGAAGAAGAAAGATTTGCCCTTGAAATTCTGCCTGATATGCTAGAAAAACATTATGGGTACAAATTGTTCATTCCAGACAGAGATTTGATCCCTACCGGAAGTAAGTTAATTGTTTTAAATTCTTTATATATTGGGAACAAGGGTATGTCTGTATATGTGCTTTTACATAGAGATTTATTGTTTGATATGATAATCTTCTATTCACTCTAAAATATTTATCTGTAATATGTCTAATAAATAGAATTAATAAATAAATGCTCCAAACAAAATTATAAAAATAACAATAATAATTTTGAAGAACCGCTTCCATAACTTCACAAAAGGTATATTATAACCTCAGCATTAAAAAAAATCAATTAAGAGATTTATACTTTATAGCAATATTTCTATCCTTTTCAAAAGTTACATCAGTTTAAATGAATTTGTGTTTCCTGGTCAAATTGATTTCTGTTTTCCGATATTTACTGTTTATCTCCTTCTTTCTAAAGTAAACAGTTCAACCCCTGATAAAAAGGGAGAGGACAGAATTACTTGAGTGAGATCTGTCTAGCTTCCAAAGTTTGTGTACACAGCTCTCTGGGCCAAGTGTTAGTCTTACTAATTCTGAGAGACCATTGTTCTATTTTGTAGCATACATTGAAGATGTGGCAAGATGTGTGGATCAAAGTAAGCGGCTGATTATAGTTATGACTCCTAATTATGTGGTAAGAAGAGGCTGGAGTATCTTTGAACTGGAGACCCGACTTCGAAACATGCTAGTCACAGGAGAAATTAAAGTGATATTAATAGAATGTAGTGAACTCCGAGGAATCATGAATTACCAGGAGGTGGAAGCTCTAAAGCACACCATTAAACTCCTGACGGTTATTAAATGGCATGGACCAAAATGCAACAAGTTGAATTCGAAATTCTGGAAACGTTTACAATACGAAATGCCTTTTAAGAGGATAGAACCCATTACCCATGAGCAGGTATTAGATGTCAGTGAGCAAGGGCCCTTCGGGGAGCTGCAGACTGTCTCAGCGATTTCCATGGCTGCCGCCACCTCCACCGCACTTGCCACTGCCCATCCAGATCTGCGTTCCACGTTTCACAACACGTACCATTCACAAATGCGTCAGAAACACTATTATAGAAGCTACGAATACGATGTACCTCCTACTGGCACCCTGCCTCTTACCTCAATAGGTAACCAGCATACCTACTGTAACATCCCTATGACACTTATCAACGGACAGCGGCCGCAGACAAAATCCAGCAGGGAGCAGAACCCAGACGAGGCCCACACAAACAGTGCAATACTGCCGCTCTTACCACGGGAGACCAGTATATCCAGTGTGATTTGGTGACAGAAAAGGAGGGGGCGACGTTGTCCCTTGGAGTAGGAGCTGAGTCTGCAGTCCAGTGCCTGGAACTACATCCTCGACTGCTGCTGTTAAAACATGCATTACAATCTATAAAATACGAGGAAAAACAGGGTCTTGTACATATGTTCTTGCAATTTATTTGTAGCATCAGTGTCTTCCTGTTTTACCATGTCTCTTGCCATTACATTTTTTGACTTTGTTTTATATGTCACTGGAATTTGTATATTTACATTTTTTAATGAAGAGACTGATGTATAGATAGGAAACCCTTTTTGCTTCATTAGTATAATTTTAGAATGGGTTTGATTTCTTTCTGTTTGGGCTTTTTTTTTTTTTTAACATTTCTTTGGAGTGCTTGGACAAAGCTATTTGATGGGACAAGGACCACCATATACACTTTGCTGTTCTGCCTAGCAACAGCAAGGCCATGTTGGCCTTCTGAGAGCGATACAACGGAAAGGCCAAAATTCCAATTCAGGAAACAGATGTGGAGAACACTCGTTCATAGGAGGGCCCCACCAATCAGAGCCCTGAATCTCTTCCTTGTCCTGCCTCATCCCCACCTCTACCCTTCTAATGTCAGCATGGTGTGTGACCCTGCAGAATGGGAGGGGGTGGGTCTAACTGTCTTAACATTTAACTCACTGCTTGTCAAATGACACTCCAGACCCAAATGTCTACCAGTCACTTTACTGTGACCACTGCTGAGTGCTAAGAAGATAAGATCAAGGGCGGGGGTGTTGTTTTGTTTAAAAATGAGTTGATGTACCCTTATATATATAAAAAAAAAAACACTCAACCTATATTTGATCACTTCCTGGAAAGGCATGAATGTGTTTGTGGCTGTTTTTGTTTCAATATTCAACTCCCTTTTTTCCCCTTTAATTTTTTCTGCAAATGAGATTATGTGCAATTGCCAGGCAAGTCAGTCAAAAGGGGTGAATTGACATAAGTCATAATGAGATTTATATTGATGGCTTCCAAACCAAAGGGAAGGACTAGGATGTTATCAAATATGTTTTGTCACATTGTATTATACAAATTGTTATTTTCTAAACAGTAAGAGCAAATCTTTGCAACCTATTATGGAGTCCCCTTGTATTTAAATGTTAATTCACTGTATTTACTTTTCAATGCTACATTCAGAATCAAGCATTCTTACTTCCTTTGTTTCAGTTTGTAATAATAAGTAAAAAAAACTTTATCAATTTCAAGGTGATTTAACTGAGAACTCAGGAGGTTAAAACATGAATATTAATGAAAATCAATGTTTTCAAAATAAACAGTATTTATACAAAAGTAAACATTAAATCAGACCTAAAAGTGTTTAAAACAATTAATTCTACTGAATAAAGAATTAGTTTTATTTTAAATGTATCATTCTATCTTTAAGAAACACAGAAAGCTTGTTCTAATGCTCCCAGAAAATCCATTTTATATAGTTCAGCTGTGTCTGAAATAAAGGATATAAGCTGCTAATTCATATTCATGTTTTGTATTACAAAATAAATAAATAAATAAAGTCTATTGTAAAAGAACCTGCAGGGGGCAGAATTATAAGAAAACATTCCCTATGGGATTTTTTAGTTTTTTAAAAAAGTACAACACTGATAATAGGGTTTTAACATTAATTTAGTGATTCATCGTAGACATTTTCATTATTGTCAACAAATGCTGACCAGTGCAATGAATGTTGTATTTTTTTTATTTATTCTTACCATCAGTATATATATAAAAAAAAACAGAAAACAAAAAAAAAACAAATAACCACTCTAATGTTTTGGTCTCATTAGTAAGATGTTATTTGATCAGAAAGAAAAGTAAGCTACAGTGTAGTTCATGGGGAAGGGGGCAAGGGCCCATTGAAAATGTATGAAAAATGAGAATGAACATGATGTAAAAGTCCGAAGGATCCTGGTACCCTCATAACAACAAGATAAAGGTGCTATGGGATGTTCAGTAGTTTTTCTTTGACTAAAAATGTTTATTTCTCTAACAATTCACTTGGGTGCTCCTCCAGTCTGTTCTTTATTTCCATGCATCCCCCCCGGACATGTGCCAAATTTCAACAGAATAGACCTGAAGCTGCCAGGACAGATAAAATTTAGTCAGCTTTGCACATTTGCTTATTTTCAGACTCTAAGAAGGCCATTATTTTCTTGATATTATGGACACCTGTCAGGAACTGATGGCATTTAACTTCATTGGACTGGATCCCAAAATCTCCCAGTACCCAGAAAACCGAAAACACTGCACTACCTTTTTTTTTTTTAACTGGAGATGGAAGTGTGAAAAAAAATGTAGAGAAAATGATCAGACCACAATCACATTTTAGGCATCCACAAGTGTTTATTTAGCTGCATTGGGAGTATATTTTTGTTCTATTTTTAGCACTTTGAATAGCATGATTCAGTGATTGATGGGTAATATTTGATATTTTCACAACTTAAAAGTTTCTTTTTCTTCGAATGTGTTGTCATATTATGGAACAAAGGAATGAAATAAACAGAGAAGAAGCTATTGATGGCTTAAGAAACATTCCTCCCAAAATATTGCTCTTCTATCAATAGCTTGTGTGAGAACAAGTGAAGGAAACTGTCATGTGATCACATGCTCAATGTTTGACAAAAGTTCTGTTAGAACTCATAATAAAAAGAGGAAAAAAAATGTATTTTCCCTAGTGATTAGGCTCTATCCTTTTTCTTGGGTGGGGGTGGAAGAGGGAAGATGGAGGTTTTCCTTAGCTGTAAAAACAGGGCTGAAACTATGGATATAATAGCCAAGCTAGGGGGAAAAGGAGAGGTGGGGGGAGGGACAGAAGAAGACAGGAGAGGAGAGGAGGGGAAGGGAGAAGAGAGAGAAAGAGAGAGAGAAATTCCGTAACACATAAGTAAGCTGATCTTGAAAATGTGAAATGACTATATCCTGCTTTTCTTCAGTTGCTGCTCTAACTCGTTAGCACTATGCAGATGTGCACATCTACTCTTTCTTAAATACAGCTTCTGTCTTCCTTGTTCCCAATAGCCTTTTCGACTCCTTCCTAGTTATCTGACCTATTGGAGTGTAGTCAGCATTCACCTGATTCTTTTGCGACTCTGAAGAGTAGAGAGGCAGCCAGAACATGGTATTTCCTTCAGCTGAATTATTGATGGGCAAGTATGTGGCATTTATGTTGACTCTCTCTAAAGAAAACCCAAGTAATGGATTTGTATTTGCAACTATCCCCAAGTCCCCTTGTATTTCCGCATCATCAGCATTTTATGATTTTTACTTTAAGCTTCTGTTACTGTATTTCACTGGAAGGTCTTTTGCTTTGGCATGGCTTTACTTTTAACTCTCCAGATGCTGCTTTCTTGGCTGCTTCCATGTTCTTCAGCTCTTTTAAAAAAGCAAAAACATGAGAGCCAATGTTCATGCTTTGTTTTTAATAATATCACTCTTAGATATTATGTACACTAATTTAGCTAAACTTTTCCCATAACAAGAACAAAACTCACCTTTTTCACTGAAAAAGTTACTTATTTTCTTCCTGTAGCCAGTAGGGTGGTAGAAGGCCTTTCTAGTCACAATGTAATCTATTTCTGGGAGTGTGTGCTTTGCTTGCTTTCCTTTTAAATTTAGGTTACATCCTTAAAGATTATTTTTTTTTAAACCAGAGGAAAAAATAAGCTTTTTGTGAGTGGAAATAGGAGGGAATTGTCTTTGGCATTTTTTAGTTCTATTAGGAACCTGCTTTGGCATTGGTCTCAAGGGTTAGTGGAATTTGTCAATTTAATTGATCTATCTAGTCATTATTTCCTTTGATTTCCCTTTCCAAAACACACCTCCCTGAAAAATCACTCCCTTATATGTGTTTTCTTCCCTATTATAATATAAACTTTTTGAGGACAGGGAAAGTCTCATTTGTTATATTTATATTAGTACTTAGCATAGTGCCTAGCACATTGTTAGTGTTTAATATTTTTTCATTTATTCATTCACTTGATTTACCTGGTTCCTAACCTTAACAATAGAGCCATGTTATTTAAATAGATAAGAAACCCTACATAAAACCATATATCCCATGTATACCTGAAGAAATTTTCAGATAGTAACTTATAGTCAAGGAGAAAGTGACAAAATTGTGTCCCCTCCAATGAGAAATTTTAACAAGTTATGATTTGTTGATCATCTATACTATGGAGGTAATAAGAGGTATGAATGACTCAAAACTAGAGCATAATCTGAAAGTCACTTATGTTTAGTTTTCATATGTAGTCAGAGTTCTACACTCAAACACGATCACACCAGTACACACAAACACACACACACACACACACACACATTGCCTAGCTAATTCCTCTCTCAACTTGACCTCCCTGTATTGGAGGCCTATAATCTGACTGACTAGTACAAATATTCCACTCCCAACTGAGGACTCATTTTTATGATTATCACATTTTCTTGTTTTCTTCACACTTCCACAGGAGATGACTCCAGTTGGAAAAAGTAGAACCTGTGTGATTTGGCAACAATGCCTTATTTCATACAACCTTTTTAAAGATTGTGAATTCTTATTTCTCCTAAGCAATTTTAAGAGTCATTCAAGTAAAAGAAGAGGATAAACAAATGCTAAATTACTGGTAGGTTTTTCCAGGGGTGTCTGCACTTTCAGAGGATGAGAACTGGATTGTTGTCCTCTTTATGTCCTCCTATGCAGGCCTATCAGTGGAGATGGGCCAGTGGCAGTTTCCTGACTTTTAAAGGAAATCTGTGTGAGTATGTAGATTTTAGAGAATGAAGTCAAGTGACATGGTGGTTACTATGAATATTCTGGTTTTTATTTTATCTTTGACAGCAAGGTAAAATGTATATTAGATTAACAAATTGAGTAAGGAAGATTTCAATCAGCAATATGAATTCACATAATGATGTTTGGAGGAATGAAAGATGATTTTAGCAAATCATGACCCAGTAAAAATGAATCCCAATCTGTTTTGCAG